CGCGTGAAAATTCGAATAATTGACACATAACTTTACCACACTGTGGTATAGGATATTATGGCTTTGTGCATATGTTTGTAACAGGCAAAAGGAAACGAGTTAGAACCATGGTTCCTTTTGAGAATATGCATAGAATCACTTTCTGAGTCGATTTATAAATGTCCGTATGTCTGTCCATGTTAAATTGTAAAGAAATTGCAGGTCGAATTTATTATCCGAATGAGATGAAATTTGGCACAGATCATTTAGTTGCCCCAAGGACGAACCCTATTGAAATTGGTGAAAATCGTTTCAGATTTACATATAGCTCCCGTATATATCTTTGTCCGATTTATGGTAAATGGTGCACCAAAGTCCCTAAATATCTTTCGATTTGCACGAAATTTGGCACAGCGTATTGAATTAAGCCTAGAATGATATGTGCTAGCTTTCGTGAAAATCGGCTCAGATTTAGAATATATATGGGAGTTATATCTAAATCTGAGCTAAATCGTCCGATTTTTAGCAAATGATGCACCAAAGAGTCAAATTTAGGCTGATTGGCACGAAATTTTGCACAACGTACTGAAGTTATGATAGCCTAACGTGCGCGAAGTTTTAGTGAAATCATTTTAGATTTAGATATAGCTCTCATATATTTTTTTCTTCCGATTTTTAGCAAATGATGCACCAAAGAGTCAAATTTAGGCCGATGATAATTTTGTTGAGTTACAAACGAGAAAAACAAACTTAATATAACCTCCATACTATTATGGTGGAGGGTATAAGAGCGATAAGTCCGATAAGTCCCATCTTCGAACTTGATTTTATGTGGGTAAAACGACGACGATATGCAGAGTTTGGGTCAAATAATACTAAATTTATAAAAAATTATAAAAATTTTGACACTTTGTGAGAGAGCAACCCGAAGAAGAGGACCGATAAGTTCCATCTTCCGAAAATATATAAGCTTGGTGGAAATTAATTAGTTTGTGCAAAGTTTGATTACAATCGATGATTACTCCCTTCGAGAGTTATCGTGCGTTACAAATTGTCTCAAAGGGATATGGTCCAAAGAAACGTAGGATCTAACACCAACACCAGCTGACACTTCTTTACTTGAGATCTAATGAATATTTTCGAAACCTGTCCAAGCAATACATTTTTTTAAAATATTTTTAAGGCTTGAATTTTTGAAAGAATATTTTGGAGATCTTTCCAAGGGCTTGAATTTTTAAAGGATATTTTTGAGGCCCTACTAAAGGCGTGGATGAATATTGATGGCCTCTCCAAATGCGAGGGGCTTTTAATGAATATTATAGGCCTTTCTAAAAGAGTAGATTTTTAAATGAATATTGAAGGCGTTTCCAAAGGAGAAAAATTTTAAATGAATATTGAAGGTATCTCCAAATGCGTGAATTTTTTTGTGGAATATTGAAGGGTGTTTAAATGAAAATTGTAGGTTTTCTAGCACAGACTTCTTTAAATATATTAAACGCATTTTAAGAAATTGCAGGCCTTTATGCATGGATTTTTAAATTAATATTTTTTAAGAAATTGCAGCCCTTTAGGCCTGGATTTTTAAAAGGATATTTTTTAAGAAATTGCAGGCCTTTAGGCATGGATTTTTAAAAGAATATTTTTTAAGAAATTGCAGGCCTTTAGACATGGATTTTTAAAAGAATATTTTTTAAGAAATTGCAGGCCTTTAGGCATGAATTTTTAAAAGAATATTTTTTAAGAAATTGCAGGCCTTTAGGCATGGATTTTTAAAAGAATATTTTTTAAGAAATTGCATATGTATATAAATAATAATATGTATATAAATAATTTATAATTATATTTTTACATTCAATAGTTACATAAAATTCTCTTTATTTCATATTTGATTTTGTATATTACATACATACATAAATACATTTTGTAATAGCCTCATATACATTTATCAAAATTTCTTTTGAATATATTCAATAATTTATTTAAAATTGTATTCTTAAAAGGTGTTCTTACAAATATTAATTTTATTTAGGCAAAGTATTTTTTTATGATATTTTTGCCCATTTTTGTATACATAAATATATAACAAAAATATATAAATTTGACTATTATGCTAATTTCCATATTTTTTTAATATTTCTTTCACATTTTCAACTTCATATTAATACATCTAATTTGTAAAGTTATTTTCAATGCGAGATTTTTCGTTTTCAATGCAATCATTATTTTTTATACAATGCCTGTTTCAATACTTCATTCAACAATAATTATTTTATATGCACATTTATAATAATTATAGAATAATAGAAAATACTTTATTGTTTTGAATTATTACAACTAAAATAAATTATTTTAACAAATTTTATTTCTGTTTCTGTTGGCTTAAGTTAATAAAAACATTTTGCCAATTGAAACAACTATGAGCACAGATATTTTATATAAATTATTATATGGTTTAAAATAGTTTTAAATTCTTAAAGGAAATACTTTTTTTTAACAAAAAGGCAAGCAGAACTAAATTTAAAGCCACACCAGTACAATAATAAATTTAACACATACAAACAATGAGTATTTTGGATATTGTGTGTTGGTTTATTTTTTTTATGGAGGAGAAGATTTGTAAATTTATTTTTCCATGAGATTTCCCATCATCCAAATGGCAAGCAAGACATCTGCAACAAAGAATTAGAAAGTATGAAATGTTAAAAGCTCCCACATACATTTTTTTTAATATCGCATTTAAAAAATTAAAAAAAAAATAAATAAAAACAAACTAAATTTACTAACAATTGACGTCAATTCGTGAGGCCTACATCATATATAGCTGTCATATAAACATGTACATTATATGATAAGTATTACTACAACTCACTCACAAAATGCAAACGTGCATATAGATTATATCCAAAATAATATATTTACACAGATGTTTACATTTCAAGATTTGGCACATGTTCGACTTTTATTCTTTCTGTTGAACAGAAGACATACAAAAAAATAATGCATCATGTGTGAATTTAAATTGACATTTATGAAGACGTAGATAGATATAAAAATGAGAAAAAGAAATGTTGAGGAACATTTGGCGATATATAAAAAAAACAATTGTTGACCAAGCTAAGATCTAGAAGCCATTTATGCAGGATGTAGTCAATACGCCAAATTTAATAATCTAATACAGACTTTCTTTTTACAGACTTTCCAAGGACTATATAAATTTAAAAAATTTATAAAGACTTTCCAAGGCGTGGATTATTGTTGGCCAAGCTAAGATCGAGTAGACGTTTACGAAGGATGTTGTTAATACGCCAAATCAAAAGATTCAAGGAATAATGCATAATGTTGTGCATACGTGTTGCCACCAAATGGTTAATCCTTTGTCGGATGCGAAAATCTATGATATTGCATTAATGTACATTCCCTTCAAGCGGGCAATGAAACTGTCACACGCTGCCCGAATGTTGCTCTGCGGTATTTAGGCCCATTCCTGGCGAAGCGCTAGCTTAAGGTGATTGACACTTTGGTATTTTTTAGTGCCTACCTTGCTTTTCAAAATACTTCAGACACAATAGTCCAAAGGATTGGTACCGGAGATTTTGGTGGCCAAATTGGCTTTAATGCACCCTCCAGAATATTTTCGTAATAATATTCGGCATTTATTTTGATCGGCCGAGGCATCAAAATAAATACGAGCGGAGAGCAATCATCGGCTATTATGGTAGCCCACACCATCACCAACGCCGGCGCTTGAGTTCTTGTGGCCAACCAAAGGTGCACATTTTCGGCTGACCTCTATGGCAAGTAAACACGATCATTTTGTTTGTTTACAAACTGCTGGACAACGAATGTTGTCTCAACGAAGAAAACCAAATTCGGTCACTATGACGCTTGATTCCATTACGAATAACTTTTTTTCGTGAAAATTCTGACTAAAACGCTTTTGTACGTTTTAATAATTTTTAATAGCTGTAGGACGAGTGGCTTAGAAATGACTATGATACTACAAAGATTTTTATATAGAGTAAAGATCTGACTGGCCGTTATAAAACCCGGACTTTTGAGTCCCGCGACCAATCTTTGTTTTAGGTTATTGTCATGCTGAAACACCCAATCGTAAATAGATCGAACTCCATAAAAAGAAAAAAAGGCCAATTCAATTATTGACCCGTCTCTATGATCTCCTGCGCCCTCGCAATACTTAGACTTAAACCTTTAATTTTTTTATCTTCTCTTGGTAAATTTATTCGTGTCTGAGCCTTAAAAACTAACTTTTAATTCTCCCGAGAATATAGCATTTCTACACTGAGTCGGATTTCAACTTTTGCTAAAATCATATGAATGATATAAAAGGACTTCGTTGATAGTTTCCGGTCGTGCAGATATAGAACTAGAAAAGCCCGCCCGATACATTTATTTGCAATTTAATTTTCTTTAGTTTTTGCCATCAGTGCATGTATTCTATTTATGTTTACTTTTGGAAACTCGTAATTGATAACCCTGTATATTGAAACTATTAGTAAATCTGAACTTTAATTTACACACGTCATTCTAGCGCGAAATTCGATAGCATGCATTTTTTACAAATGAAATAGTCAAAAGATTGGACCTAAATGTTTTTTTTTTCGACAAAAAAAATAGCCTTGGACAAAGTGTTTTAAAACAGATTCATTTTTTAAAATAAAAGTCAGAGTTCTTTTCAACTTTCTTTCATGATACTTGATTATATTTAGTCGTAGATGGAGTTTACCAGAACTGAGTGTGCTGCACTATCGAGCAATACGACTCTTTGAAAATATTCTCTAGTAATGATTAATAATATATGGGTCCCTCATGCTTAAGGTTATAGCCTTAAAGTCGAACGACTGGTTACAATATATTTTAAATAAATAGTTATAATAAAAATATAAATACATTAAAAAAATAAATACCTTTTTTCCATCGGAGATATTACACCAAGAAAACATTTAATATAACATAATTTTATAACTTATTTCAGCAGCTCTTCCATTCATTCTCCCCCTGACCTAATGAACTTCTGTGGTTGTTGAATTTTTACGCTGTGGTATTTCTTCGTTTTTCAACTTTTTCTCTTGTTCGCCTGCCCGAAGTGATTTATTATGACAAGTTTTCTCTATATGTTTTTCTAACTTCTCCAACAAATCAAAACCGGTCTTCCAACGTATTATTTCCGAACGGACTTTCAGTTTTAAAGGATTTTTAGTTAAGGTCTTATCCATTGAAAAACCCTCCCGAGGGCAGGCAATATCACGCGGACTCAACTTGGTAACAGGGCAAATATCATTGTTGCCATCACCAACATAGATGACATGTTCATATGTCATATTATAGCGTAGATCTTGTTCAATGAGAAAATGTTCCAACACCTTGCCTTTGCACAGATTTGCCGAACTCATACGACATTCGGTTTGATGATGATACGGTTGAATGGTCAGCAATCCGTTCGCCTCAAATCGTGCAGGATTCGTGAAAACTTTGGTAAAACTATCACTTAGTCCATGATATTTTAGCCATTCCTCGATGAAAATACTATTCGAATCACTGATAATAATCAAATCACAATCATATTTCGACTTTAGCCTTTTGAGCATACGCACAAATCCCGGTACCTCGGGTATAGCTTGTATTGTTTGCAATATCTTGTCGGGTTTTATGTTCACTTCATGTAGCCGTCGAAATATCTCAGCCATATGTTCCGTCCATCCTTTGGCCTCGGCAATTTCTTGTAGATCTTTGGTCAACTTATTCGGCGGCAGGATATCACGCACTACGGTATCTGTGTTTTGAGCTACCACCGTATAATCGAAATCAAATGCTCCCAAATAACGTTTAATCACTTTTGTGGCCTGTCCACCGCCACCAGCGGGAGCAGCAACACCTGATCCACTCATTGCCAACATAGCTGCAGGTTTACTCATCTTTGCTTTGTTCTCGTTTTGGCTTTTTGTAATCAAATTGTAATTAAAAATGGAATTCCTTCCTTCTTGCGACACCGAAATTCAAATAGACGATAGACACGGACACCTGTTTTCTGTGTTTTCTAATTGTTTTTGTTGCCTTTTGACTAGTGTTGTGTAGTGCAGTACGATGAACGACCTTAGAGTTCAATTGCCTGTGATTCACTGAAGGGAGTGTGGGAACTAGCAACCGATTGAGCTTTGCTGTATAGGTTGGGAATACATATAAAAAAATAACAAATTAAGAAAAAATAAAAGTACAAGACTGTATTGCTTTGGCTCCTGCTCACAAATCATAAGTTAATGAATATTGCTTATTATTAAATATTATATAATAAAGGAAGGATTTGACATATACATCGTAAATATTCCATCGCTCCTTAATCTTCTTTATTTCCAATCCAATTCCGCTATAAGCTCTTTTGATTCCTACAGTATTAGGTAGATTCAGTATTAGGTAGAATCCACTGAGTTAACGAAATCGAGTAGAATGTAGACGTACCTTAAGAAATATAAAAGTACATTTACATATACGATTTTAAATCGACTCGATTAATGAAATCCAGAAATACACCCTAATTGTTTACACATACCCTTAATCATGATCTAAATGCCGATCAGCTGATGTTTGTTAGTATACATACAAAATTATTAATTTGCGCCAAAAATATTTGTTTGCAATTTGAAAAAGAATAGAAGAATTACCACAATGGAAATGTTTTTGCAATACTGTGATCGTTTGGAAAGTAAAAAAAACACCTAAAAACACAAAAATTCTATAATTAATTTTTATTTTCCTTTGATCTGTCATTTTTGTATTTGTCAGCCGTTAAATTTAAAAACAAACGGCATGTAAAAACAGTTGCAAATTTTGGTACATTGTGAGAGAGTTGTATTTTTTCGTACAAAACCCGCGTTGCATCTCAGTAGTATCATGATTTCGATCATGATTTAAAATAAATCCTGCTGCACGATGATTTAAATTTGTGTGCTAAATCATGGTAAATTTAGCCTGATTAAGAAAATAAACCCTGATTCAGCCTTTAATCATGATTAAATGTTATATGTAAACTCGCTTTTAGATATGTTTAGCTCTTTCGTTGTGGGTTCAGGTTCAGATAATAATAACGCCGTCAATACAGTCAGTATGGCTCGGTTCTCTGAGTGCGATTTTCATTTAGTCTCCATCCCACCTCATTCGTAAACAATTCGGTATACACTATGGTGCATCTTTGTTTGTTTTGATTCTGGCTTTATCAGTTACGTTTTAAAGCTATTTCGTCCAATTCCGCAATGCCGTCAAAATTTTAAGAATCGACATTGTACAACGCAAGGTAGATATACAAGGTAGCCGCATCGGCGAATTTCTACAACAAACATCGGTTGTTGTATTTTGATATGTCAAAAATATTTTGCCAAAAAAACAGATTGGCAAGATTTTTTACACAAATTATTGTAGAAACTGTTAATAAAAGTATTGCCAAAAAAGCTATTAGAAATTCGGAGATTTTCATTTATAATTTTGTTTTTTAATTTTTTCGTTCAACATTACAACAACATTTTTGACATTTATTTGTCCAACAGCTGGCCCGATGCGGCTACCTTATTAAATATACCTTGGTACAACGGTAGTTTTCATTCGAAAGCACGCCTATTGAATAATTCATCAGCACCTACTTTAGAATTTTTGTTCGATATTCCTCACCTGTTACAGTACGTTCACATTTAGCCGGATTTCGTTAACCCAGTGGGTTTCAATTGTCAATTCCTTTGCATATATGTCAAATAAATCCTCATGAAGTGGGTTAACCCGGTAAAAAGTTCTAATGTATATGCCGTTTTAACCAATTTAACAATGAACTTCTTCGATAAGAATATTTACATCAGAAGCAGACTCGGTAGACAAATTGACCTCATTAATCCTGATATAATAAATGCAATTTTCAAATCAGAAAAGGGATCCGTTCTCAATTGCAGAAGACGATATTCGCACACAGCTATTACCGTTCATATGCTTATAAATACAAACCGATGGAGAGAGTTGTGGCGCTATTTCACAAAAATGTCGGATTTTGAACTAAATTTGAATTTTGTTTGCAAAAAATTATCTGCAATGAAGGCTTATGGTTTGTTCCCGCACTGCAACAATCTACTATTGTTTACTATTTTTTCCGATATCATAAAGGAAAAATGTTATCGTAGTAAAAAATTGTACATTCTTGCAGGTTCTGGAACAGACAATTAGAGAGTGATTTCGTAGAAATTCGAAAGCGTTGCAACGGAAGGCCAACCTTTGATGAGCTGACTGTCATTAAGTCCAGATCTGATTGTGCCATTAATCTTAATAAATCTATTGATATTATTTTGGCCTAAAGATTCTTTTAAACAAGAGTGAAGTTAACGGCTAAAAGTTCCGAAGTAAGAAGCAATCGTTATCGGCAATTTTCGATTAATATCCCCCCAAGCTGTCACACGAATGATTTTCTATCGACAGCTCGAAAATTATCAAAATTAATTTGTTGTCAACGTTATCGGCATTGCTTCCATAGGTCCTAAAACAATTGTGTTTATAAATAAAATTTATTTCTATTACAAGACAACTTGTGTGGATAGGATATAGATGTGCCTCCAAAGAGTCCAGTTCTTCCCAGATTAGAAAAAATTAAATTAATTAAAAATTAGTAGCAAAAATGTGTGAAAATCCAATAAATCCCAAACAAAAACTACGAGATACAGGCAATTTATGCCGTGAAGATTTCGATGGTGGACCCATAAGTTTGGATGAAATCGAGCCGGGACTATATTTGGGTAAGTGGAATAAACTTATATAAAATTTGTATATAAATTTAATTGTTATTTTCATTCATAAAATTTACAGGAAATTTAACTGCTGCTACCCATATGGAAACTTTGCGTTCATTTAATATTTCGTATATATTAACGCTGGACTCAATACCATTGCCACAGCACATAACGGAGGCATCATTCCTAACCACAAAATATATACACAGTAAGTTTTACCCTTTTATGTATTAATGGACATTGTATATAAATCATGCTTGTGTATATTTGTACGTCATTCACTACGTGGGATGGTTTCGATTGTCGGTATATGTCAATCAAACTTGTTCGAATTTCGTAATATAGACCCAATAATAATAATGTTGTGAATGAATGTTTACAAAATCCGTTGAAGGATATCAATTTCATTGTGTAGGCCGGATATTACAATATTGACCGGATATTACAAAAGGCTATTTTTATCATAACCCCTACTATCCAAGATATTTAAAGCATGGAGTATATTAACATACATAACGTTTAGAATATAACCAACATCATAATAACCAGTAGGCGTGGATTTTTAAAGTAAATTTTTCCAATAAATTAAAGGCCAAGAGGCGTAGATTTTTAAAATAATTTTTTCCCCACAAATTAAAGGCCAATAGGCGAGGATTTTTAAGGTAAAAATTTTCAATAACGTAAAAACCAATAGGCGTGGATTTTTAAAGTAAATTTTTTCCAACAACCCAAAGGCCAAGAGGCGTAGATTTTTAAAATAAATTTTTCCCACAAATTAAAGGCCAATAGGCGAGGATTTTTAAGGTAAAAATTTTCAATAACCTAAAAACCAATAGGCGTGGATTTTTAAAATAAATTTCTTCCTACAAATTAAAGGCCAATAGGCGAGGATTTTTAAGGTAAAAATTTTCAATAACCTAAAAACCAATAGGCGTGGATTTTCCATCAACCTAATAACCTATAGGTGGGGATTTTTTCCAACAACCAAAATACCTATGGGTGGGGATTTTTAAAGTAAATTTTTTCCATCAACCTAATAACCTATAGGTGGGGATTTTTTCCAACAACCAAAATACCTATAGGTGGGGATTTTTAAAGTAAATTTTTTCCATCAACGTAAAGACCTATATGTAGGGATTTTTAAAGTAAATTTTTCCATCAACTTAAAGACCTATAGGTGGGCATTTTTAACGTAAATTTTTTCCAACAACCTAAAGACCTATAGGTGGGGATTTTTTAAGTAAATTTTTTCCAACAACCTAAAGACCTATAGGTGGGGATTTTTTAAGTAAATTTTTTCCAACAACCTAAAGACCTATAGGTGGAGATTTTTAAAGTAAAATTTTTCCAACAGCCTAAAGACCTATAGTTGGGGATTTTTAAAATTACTTTCTTCTCTTTTAGTCGCCGACATGCCCAAGGAAGATATTTTACATCATCTCAATACTTGCTATGATTTCATCAATGAAGCTCTTACAACAGGCCATAACATTCTGGTGCATTGGTAAGTGTTAATGTCCATATGTTTTTAATGAAATTCCAATTTATAAACTATGTCTCCCTCTTTTAAGTTATTTTGGTGTTAGTCGCAGTTCATCCGCAGTTATTGCCTATATTATGAAACGTCACAATATGGACTACAACACAGCCTATGATTTCGTAAAATCGAAACGGCGTTTTGTACAACCAAATGCTGGATTTGCTGCTCAATTGAAATTATGGCATCGCATGGGTTGCAACATCGATCCACACTATCAAAAATATAAAATCTATCGTTTACGTTTGGCTGGTGATCAGGTGCGGAAAGGTAAGATGTATTTCGTAATTTTTTTGAGAGTTAAAAATCTAAAAAGTGTACATTACAGCCAAAATTCTTCCACCCAATTTCAATGATCTGATAAAACCCGATCCAGCAATAACCCAAGAAAATCCCGAACCCATTGTTTACCGTTGTCGCAAGTGTCGTCGTGTTTTGGCATCAAAATCAAATGTTTTACAGCACACGGCTAAAAATGTGGCACAAGAAAAAGTCAACGATAATGGTAATACAACTATGATGAGTGCAGATAAAACCACAGACCAAACAACTGGAACAGGTGTTGGTGGTGGTGGCGGCGGGGCTCCCCGGCTGTTGGAACAAATTGCCCAGCAAATACGTAAAGTTTCATTGGCATCACCAACAACGGGCGGTGAGGAGGGAACACAACAAAATACCCCCCTCACCTATTGTCAGAATATTTTATTTGTCGAACCAATTGCCTGGATGAAACATATTGGCAATAATACCCAAGGACGTTTGAATTGTCCCAAGTGTGATCAGAAATTGGGAAATTATAGTTGGATAAATGGTGAGTATAATGAAGAAATATTCAAAATATCTTTCAATAGATCGGGAAATATCAATGCTAAAGGCATAGACAGTTTGAAAATTTGGGATACGATCTTGAAAATAACAAAAATTAAAATGGAGACAAAATTCAAGTAAAGAATTTAATGCCATATCAAACTAATTTTAATGTTTTATCTTCCCTCTCTCTCTCTGTAGGTTGTCAATGCCCCTGTGGCGAAGAAGTATCACCAGCATTTTATATGATACCTTCCAAAGTTGAACTCTCCAAGGCTGTTCAAAATGTACAAACCACTTTGTAAAGCAAACAAAATACTTATTTTTATTTTATTTTAATTGGAATTTATGTGTTTAAAATATGGTTATTATATATGTATGTATGTACATTATTATATTGTTGTCTTGAAAAAAAGAAACCAAAACCAAAATGCTTCCATATTGTTGTGGTTATAAAAAACATAGATATTCCTAAATGATTAGATTTATGGAACTATTTTGCGCTTTTAATTTTCAAAAAAATAATACGCTTGTTGTGATAATTTATATAGTAATTAAAAACAAAATCAGATATATTTTTTGGCTGGCCCAAGGTCCATTGACGCAATGCGTCCTTGTTTTAACTGAAAATAAAAATTAGCATTTTTTTGTTAATTTCAAATAATTGAAACGGGTTTTTTAATTAACATATTTTTATTATTTATTTTTTAAATATTAATAAAACCCCTGTTTATGAAAGAGAAAGGAATAAGAAAATGTCTCCCACTCTCTCTCTCTCTCTCTTAATAATTTATTTTATCCTTGAATTTATATATCCTATTACAAATAGGTCCTACTCTAATTCATCAAATCAGTAAAAATTTAATAAAAGCAAATAACGCTACTCCAATTCCACAAGGACAGTATTATGAAAATCTTCGAAAAATTGACTTCCCCCCTCAACTATACAATTTAATACTCAAAATAAAATTAATAATAAAATACTCAGAATATTCAAAATAAACATTAAAAAGTAATATCAAATGTTTTTTATAATATATAAATGTAACAAAAAATAAATAAAATAAAATTATACGGTATCAACTGCTTAAAGCAATAACAAATAATATTTCAATGTTTATTGTAATATTTATTTTTTATATATATTACCAAAGTATTACTCCAAAACAATTTAATGCAAAAATCAGAAATTGTATAAATGTGAATAAAAAATTAAATCAAAAAGGGTTTTCTATAAAAAAAAATAATAGATTAAAAGGAATTAATAAACAATTTTCAAATTTGTGTCTTAATAAAGAATTTTTTTGTCTTAATGCTAATGCATATATGACCGTATCTAAATATATTTGAACAAACAAAAAATAAAGCAATAATATATTTGTGTATAATCCGAAGCTTTTTCTGTGGGGGTTTATTTTTGAATAAGATTTTAATTTTTTTAAGGTCAGTTTTCAGGGTCAGGGTTTATTTTGAATAATATTTTTAGGGTTTTTAATCCGACCTCAGGTTTTTTAATCTGACCTCAGCCTCAAGGCTAATGAGGGAATATACAGGGTGTGATGAAAAAACCGCATCAACTTCAGATTGCTGTAATTTTTAAGCTGTAATTTTTAAGCCACTTAATTATTCCAGCTTATTATATTGTTTACAAGCGTACAAAAGCATTTTGGTGAGAATTTTCCAACAAAAAAAAGTTATTCGTGATGGAATTTAAGCGTAATAATGTGATTTATTTATGTTTGACTGGAAAACCACAAGTTGTTATCGTTAGAGCACTCCCGGATTTAAATGTGAATAAATCGTTTGTGTCTCGTACCGTCGCATACCATATTCCAAATATTGAAAAACGAGTTCGGGTAAAGCCATTGAAATTCCAAAAAGTGCAAGAACTTACACCGCAACAGAAATAAAATAGACTCTTACTTACTTACTTAGCTGGCTTGTTACAGAACGGTATTTCCATAAGCCGAGCTTAAAAAAAATTCTATCCGCGTCGGTCTTGTGCGCATCTCCTCCTCCAATAATTCGTGGCCTTCCCCTTCTACGGGAACCATCAGTGAGCTGGGGCATTCTCATTCATTCGCACAACATGGCCTAGCCTCCGTAGTCACTGCAGCTCAATAGACTGACTATGTCGATGTCCGCGTATAATTTGTAAAGCTCGTGGTTCATTCGACGCCGATATTCACCGTCGACGTAGATCGGTCCGTAGATCTATCGGAGATTTTTTCTTTCAAACCCCCCAATAGCTGCCTCATCTGCTTGCGCAGTACCCATGCTTTAGATCCATATAGCACGGGTAGTATCAGCCTCTTGTAAAGTGTAAGTTTGGTCTGGCGGGAGGTGGCCTTGTTTCTAAACTGCTTACTTAGACCATAGTAGCATCTGTTGGCCATCAAAATCCTTCTCCGAATTTCAAAACTGATGTCATTTGATTTATTTATGGCGGAACAAGGTATATAAAATCTTTAACTACCTCGAATCTGTAGTTCTCAAGTTTTACAGTTGGTTCGAGTTTACTGGACGTCTTGCGCGTTGATTAGGCAGACT